GCCCGCGTGAGCTCCTTACCATGTTTTAAAGCTTTTGGCGCTTCCGCGCACACATATGGTGCATACAGCACCTGCACAATGCTCCGCCGAGCAGCTGGAGCGTTGTGGAAGCTTGTGGAAGCGTCATTTGCAGCTACAATGCATGTGTGCACAGCATGCATGTGCGTGTATGCCGCACACATCCATGTGGGTAAAATCTGGGCCATTCCACCGGTACGGTTGGAACGGAATCTGGAACCCACCACTGCCTGTGATGCATTGTTTCACTCAGTTAAAGTTTACAAATACCAAATTTTAGTAGTGTATTAAATTATAATAGATTATAGGCCAGCTGTCAACAGAACCCGGTCCATGATAAAAAATAACAGGCAGAATAAAAACTTAAAAGGTGTTTTCAAAAAAATCAACATTCATAAGGATCTGTGACAACTTGTTAGCCTTCCACATGACATAAAAGGAATTGGCCACTTCTCCAGGCACATTGGCCAAAATAAAATGAGTTTTCTGTACACCAGATTAACCTGGATAGTTTAACAACAGAAGGTTATTAAGTTTGAGCACCTTGAAGTGTAAAACGAGCAGCACAGTAAGCCAAAGAAAATTTCATATCTCCCAACTGGCAGGAAGATAATCTCTCTTGGACTGAAGTATCTCTCTTCTACTAGCATAGGTGGTACAATATTAAATCTTGCTATTGTGTGACACATATGAGACAATGATTGTATATAAATTGTCTTCCTCCCAGGTAATCTCCTCAGTAGGCAGGAAAGCCACAACCGATTACATTGGTAGCTGAAGTTTGAATCCTATACATTATTTTATTGTATTTGTTAAGGTCACCCCACTCCAAAAAGACTCCGAATGCTATACAATAATCCTAAATCTATAAAGTATGACCTGTTTATCATTTTACAGTGATAAGAAAATATCTGTCTGAGATTATTTTAATCAATGGAACACTTGTGACATGTATATTCTATTCTGTAATAAAAATATGTATCAAAGAAAGATGAATTCTTCGTGAAATTATTTTGCTTGAAAGTGATTTAAATGCTGTTTGTGAACTTTACTTAAAAGTGAGAGAACTGGTGGCATTCCAGGTGTTGCAGGACAGCAAATATTGGAGTACCTTAGCCATGCTTCATGGGCTAATAGAAATAGGTTCAGCAACATCTGAAGAACCAACAATTCTTTATTCCTGATTTTTTTTTAAAAAGTATCAGAACTTTTGATTTTGAACCAGTTCACCTTTTCTAGCTTTTGATCAGCTTTTCCACTGTTATTATTTTGTTGTATAAATCTGTTATTTCCATCTAGAATCATTTGTGTATTTTCTCTGTGACTAGTTGTTTGTTTGTTTGTTTGTTTATTAAATTTATTTGCCGCCCATCTTGTATGAAAGCAACTCTGGGCGGCTTATAACATTAAAATCTCTGTCCCTTATATTCATTCTCAATGGAATTTCTTCTATTATATACTTTAGCAAATCCTTTCACGTTTATTCTTCAAAATAAGGGAAAAACCAAACGATTTACTATTCTGTTAGGCAAGTTAATATATTTTAACAATTTCACTGCAATCATTTCCAACTTCTTTTGATTAGCTTGGTGTTTAGATCAAGTTAAAAGGAGATAAACGTTTAAAGGTTTTTAAAGCATTAAGTTATTGATTCTGTGCATTCTTGTCCTTAATTTTACTCCAGTATTTATTTTAGCATTTTTATTTTTATTTTTTACTCATCTGACTGGAAGCGAGCTCATATGAGTAAATTTTGGTAGTCCAGTTTGTTTCATTTTATTGATTATCAAAAACTTGATAATCAATCAAATGAATGGTTTTCAAGAATGGAAATATATTTTTTCTTTGCACATATTTTTCTATAACTGTTCATAGTAAGGTTTTCATTAAAGAAGTTCATTTTCTTTTGGAACCTGGGCATATGTTATAAAAGAATACAACATACATCTCTTTCTCTTTTTCTTTTCTCTCTGTTGAATTATGATTCTGATATCAAAATATTTTAATTCTCTCTACATTTTTATGTATTTACTTAAATTGGACTTTTGATTTGATTCATGGAGAATTAAGTTATCAGAAGCAATGCTAAATATATATTTTTTTAACTCTGAAACAAGTTCTCACTTTTTTCTTTTTTCCCCCATTTTCTTTTCTTTGAAATCAATGTCCTGTCTTCCCCTACCTCAGTCATCACTCATGAGCGTGGTAATTATTACACATCAATTGACTTTCTTTTTTCCTGTTGTAAGCTTCGTGTCAGCACTGTACAGCTCCTGAACACCATGCAGCATGCAGTTCGTTTTTATTTTTAGAATGTCAAAGTAGGATTATTACTATTACTATTATTATTATCATGGTTGTATTCTCCGAAGTTCCATTTGTATGCCAACTTTCCCCACATCTTTGTTTTTTCCTCCCTTTCTCAGGATATGCACAGTATCTGGCACACTAGATGTAAGAGCAGCAAGCTTTTTGATTTTCTTCTTTTTTTTCTGCTTCATTTGGTGGTGTTATTTTCATGGTGGGCCAAGTATTTGTGATGGTTGGTTGTAAATAAAATGTGTGCATATGACATTAAAATCCGCCATGTGCTGTGGTCTTCCTGTAGCATTTCTGTCGTGTATTTAATGTGGCTTTATGGCTGCATTAGTTTGTGCAAACATAGGAAATCAGTGGAGGATCCAGACTTGACTTTGATGGTGGGGAGGGAGAGGGGATGTTTTGTGATTAAAAAGTTATGTTTTTATTGTTGTTTATTTTAATGTTGTAAACATTAACAGAATTAATGCATGATAGCCGGTTGTAATTGTGTTGATGAAACTCCTTTTCAACATTTCTTGGTGTTTGTGTGAATCTGTTCTAGAAGGGAAACTTCAATATATACCTCAATCATCCCTTGTTCTTATTAAAAAAAAAACTCCATTTAGGTAAAACAAGTTTCAGTAGCAAAGCTAAGCCCGAACCAGAACTAAGCCCTAACACTGTGCAAATGAAGATTAAAACTTTGAAATATCACTGATTTCAGTTAGAAAGTTCATTATAATGCTACATTTGACTGATTGAAAAAAAATGTGTTAGGTTTAAAGTGTTATTTAAACTTCAAAATTCTTCAGTCAACTGTCTATAAAATAAATAGCCTATGAAATTAAAAATGCTTAATTCTCAGTGAACAAATCATTAATTTTCAGCTATTTTTCAACTATCAATGATAATAATATTATAAATTGTGAATTATTGTAAGATACAAAGAATGACATTATTTAAAAAGCGTAACTAGAGAGCACAATTTGCTGCATGGTTAAAGCATCATAAAAGGAACTGGAAGACTGAATTCTGCTCCCACTTTAAACTTGAAGCCAGCTGGATGACATTAGGCCAGTGATTCTCTCTCAGCCCTAGGAAGGTAGCAATGGCAAGTACCTTCTGAAATCCTGCCAAGAAAATTGCAGGGACTAGTTAGGAAGTTGCTGTGAGTCAACACTGACTTGAAAGGGTGTGACTGTGTATGTGCACACACATACAAAATATTTTTAACTGAGAAGTACAATTTTAAAACACATGATGATTTTTGTAGGAATAGTTTTCGTCATTGCTTTAAATGCTTCAACATTGGAAATAGAATATGGGATGCAAATACAGAAATAGTGCTTATAATACAGTATTATCACATATTGGTTGATAATTATGGTAGTACTTCCTAAACCATTTCCCTCATTATCCAAAACCATTATCAGAAAGTACTTTTTTGCCCAATGTAGGTAAAACTATTTGTACCAAATTTGGGATAATTTATCCAGATTTGGAAAGCATTGATTAATAGTAATAATGAGCTCCAAGGCAAACAAGTAAGGGATACGAAGATCAGTTTAATCCATTCAACTGCTTCCTCCCCTCAAATAGGATCCTTACTTTCAACTGTTCCATGATTCTTGAAGGGGGACAGAGAGAGAGGGGGGGAGAGAGAAAGAAGAAAAATGTTTACTTTTGCCCTGATTATTATTTCTAGTATTAATAATTGACATTTTTGTAAACCACCCTGGTAGGATCTAAAAGGTGTGTGATCAGTAATAATAATAATTGCTGCCAGATAAACCATTGATTATTGCAAAATGCACAAACCTTTTCTTAAAATGGAAACTATGAAGATTTCAGACATACCATTTTAGAGAGATATTTAAAACACCAAAGCAATGGAATAGACCATATCTTACTGGTTTTTGGAAGGGATTATACCGTGTCTATTTAAAACTGGATTTTTTCCCCTTGTAGGTGATAAAATAAGTATTTCAGACAATCTTAAATATAGGCCTTTTAACTGATTCAAGATTTATTATTGGTTGTGCCCTTTTTTATTGTTCATTGTACCAACAGTCTCTTTATTCTGATTCTCACTCATTGTGACCAAGCTTCATGTTCTTAATGCTGGACCCCCCACTGGTAAAACATTGACAGTTCTTTACCAGATATGTATCTGATTTGTTTTTGTGATGTATTCAATGTTGCGGTTTTTTATGTGTTACGTTTTACTTGTTATGGTTATTAATGGAAAAAGGTTCAAAACCAAAGGTATAAATCGATTTACATTAATTTCTTACATTTTCATTTCTTCCTTACAATTTAAATAATGTTTCCATAGATCATGATAAGCTTGAAAGTGCATTTTTTCCTCTCCTTTCAGTTTAAAAGTTATCTTTCTGATGTTTTCTTTCCTTGTTTTACATAATCTGGATTATACTGAATTTTGTCACAAAGATTCCCTGAAGCCTCCGGAGGCCGAAAAACGACTGAAAATGCAAACCGGAAGTTCGGGAATGGACTTCCTATTTGAGTGTTGGGCTGTTTTTTGCCCTCTGGAGGCATCAGGGAAGCCACCTGAAGCCTCCAGGGGGGGGGGAGCTGTTTTTGTCGTCCCCAGGATCCTAGAAAGCCTCTAGAGCCTGGGAAGGGCAAAAACCGGGTTCATCGCACACCAAAAGCGGGGGGAGAGTGGGGGTTGCGTGCACATGCATGTGTGTGTGTGTTATGCGCTTAGAGTTATGGGTATGGGCATCCCTATGCAGACCCCCCCTGTGCGCTCCCCGCTTTTGGCACATGATGGCAAAAAGGTTAGCCATCACTACTCTAGGGCATTTCTGGAATTTCATAAATTACTTGATTGGCATTTAGGCAACATGGTAAACACCTTCTCTTTTTTGTTCACAAAAGATTTTCTCTCCTCTCATATATAATATGAAATATGTATATGATTACCAGTTTTTCATTATTTATAATTGCAAGTAAGTAGGTGCTTTAAACAAATGTAAGAAACAACTTGGAAAAAATTATCAGCAGTATAGAAGAGAATGGTTAGGATGGAATGGCTTTTGGTATATGTATTAAATCCAAATGTTCTATATCCAGAATCTGCGCAACAAAAGAAATGGACAGAAATATTTCCAGGGAAATCCTTTTGCCTTCGGAAGGAGAGATAATTCATAAACTGCCATTTAAGCACTTTCAAGAACTGCAACACCTACCACAACACTCATCATTTTTTTTCTACCATACATTACTTCTTGAAAAATATATCCCCATCTCAAATGGTCCATGACAGGAACAAAACATCTGTATGTGTAATAATGCCATTGAATAGTAGCATGGGCACAGGCAATATTTTAACTAAACTGTATTGTGTTAAAAGTTTTTACTGTACTCACTTTTACTGTACGTTCAGTTTACTGTATATTCAGACTTTTTCTGAATATATAGCCATTACCATTGCACATCACACAATACACAAGAGGATTTTTGTTTACATAGGCCAACCTATTTATCTATTTAGTAAATTTATAGGCTCACCCATCTTGTTTACATGACTCTGGACAGATTACAATGAAGAATAAAAAAAACCTCTCCTTTTTATGACACTGTAATCCCTTAATTTGGGGTAAAGTCAGGGTGACTGGATGGAGCTGAGCATTTATTGGTCAGATGTCCTTCGTGATGCTATGCAGAGTTCGCAGCAGATATTTTTTCTTTGCACCTTAGAAGAGAAGCATCTGCTGCTATCTAGGATTGAACTCTCAAAGCTTCCAAGTGGAAGGTGAGCGTCTTCATTACTAGGCCACCATGCCACTGAATTAAAGAGATGCTATTTTCTAAATAGAATAGAATAGAATTCTTTATTGGCCAAGTGTGATTGGACACACAAGGAATTTGTCTTTGGTGCATATGCTCTCAGTGTAAATAAAGAAAAATAAAATAGAATGCATTCATCAAGAATCATAAGAAACAACACTTAGTGATAGTCATTGGTTACTAATAAGCAATCAAATTGTACTAGGAAACAAATAAAACAATATAAATTGTAAAGATACAAGCAACATGGTTATAGTCATAAGTGGGAAGAGAGAAGTACTAGGAAGGATGAGAAGAATAATAGTAATACAGTCTTATTAGTAAATACAGTAAATAATTCAACAGTGTTGTGGAAATTAGTTGTTTAGCAGAGTGATGGCATTCGGGGAAAAACTCCTTGTTTTTAATTCT